AATTTACTATCGTTTACCGCGTTTTCCTATCATTTAATATTGGCCACACTGCTCCCAAGCTCGCATGATAATTCCTCCACCATCATCACCAATAACCAGTATGTGTATGCTATACATATTAACATATTTTGCGTGGAGGCGACCAAATGTCAAAACCACAAATATGTTTATGTCAATAAAAGGTAAAATCGCATATTTTCATTCATACTAACTACTCTAAACATAGTACAACAACATTTTTACAAATTACAGCGCAGCCAGCATTCAAATAACAATAAAAAAAAACTAAAAATTTAAAGATGATGAAGTAGTAGTGGAGGAAAAAAAAGCTACAATACGGCATTTTAGACATAATGAATGGTTTCACTCATTAATTATAGACGATCGTTAGATTAACAACAATGACTATAAAAAAGCAACAACAAGTATAGCAACAAACATATAGATAGACAGACAGACACAAACAAATATTTTGCCAACTACAACAATGTGAAACCCACAAAAACAAAGAAAACTTTTCTTAATTCAAACGAATGGATGCTCTTGCTGCTGATGATGATGACGACGATGAGCGCATCAATTGGTGTACGAGGGTGGAATGAGGAGTCGTTTTGAAATGATGATTAATGTAGTCTTATTTTATAGTTTCTTTAGGATTCCGTGGGAAACTATGAAACAGGAGTTTGTCTATTTGACAACAAAGAATTTACCCCCCAGTTGTAAGATGCAGATTGGGTATCCGTCCGGTCAGAATCGATCGTGCAGCTCGTTGACCTTAAATCTTCGGCTGTGTACTTTTCATCTTAAATACATTTTTTTGACAGAACACTATCTCCGATCATATTCTTCTTGATGTTTGAAGTTATTCACTGAGAAAAGAAAAACGTTCACTCGATTAAACTCCCCCTGAGACAATATGTGGCAAACTGCCAAACAATTCAATCGAGTAACTCACGACGGCAGTCGTTGTCAATCTTTGACAGAAGGAAAAAAAACATTAAAGGATGTGTATTATCCAGTAAACTAGTTAAGAGATGATACTCTACAGTGTACAAACTTGTAGGATCTAGGAGTCCAACTCAAACAGACGTTATTCTCAATCTCTGAGCCATACTGCCAGGAGTTGGATGGATATTTCGAAAATCAAAGCCACTGGTGTATGCAGTGTTGACTAATAACAAGTTCTCCGGATGAACGAAAGTTAGACAGGGATTCCGTAGTCTTCTTCAACCCTCTTAACATGTGATACTGAAAAGAGATCGAATTAGCTGATGTAAGACGTGATGGATCGGATATGACTTTGCCAAGTTCTAGATGAAAACTGAAATTAAATCGGAACCGAAGATTCAAGTTAAAAATACAACTGAAGACTGAACGAATTAAGAATCAAACTAGTTAACAGACGTTATTCTCAATCTCTGTGCCATTCTGTCAGGAGTTGGATGGATATTTCGAAAATCAAAGCCACTGGAGGATGCAGTGTTGACTAATGAGAAGTTTTCCAGATGGACGAATGTTAGACATGGATTCCGTAGTCTTCTTTAGATGTGCTACTGAAAACAGAACAATACTAAGGATCTTTAAAACACACTCTCTCCAATCTAGCTGATGTATGATGGGATGGTTCGGATATGACTGCCAAGTTCTTGATGGAAACTGAAGTTAGATCGGAACCCAAGATTCAAGTTAAAAATGCAACTGAAGACAGAACGAATTAAGAATCTGCTAAATCACATGAGAAGTGAGATGGATAAGTTTGGAATAATGATCTTGTCCAACATATGCGTAAGAAGAAATAGAAAGAAAAAAGTAACACAAAGTCGCTCTTAATGGTGGTTCTGAGTACAAGTTCCTAAAATGTTCAAGTCTCTAAAGGCTTTTCCATATGAGTCAGAACGGAATTATAGTGGATATGAAGGATATGGCTTTGCTAATTTTTCATGGATGGAGTCAGAAGTAAGAACAGTCTTATTTTAGCAAGTTAAGAAATGATACTAACGGGAAACCAAAGTAGTGATCATTAAAGCACAGCCATTCTACACAGAAGCGAGATGCGAGTAAGATGAAATAAAAAGAAAACATAAGACATTCTAGCCGATCTTTACATTGGAAAGACAAGAAGAAACGCTTCTTGAGGGAGCCGAAAGTAGGCAACTTAAAATAACATACTATCAATATATTTGAAAATCTTTAAGGAATAAAGAATATGCTGAAATCCCACAATCTGGAACCTAATTGAATTTTGTTAATCTATAGTATAATTAATCAACCCCTGCTTTAAAAACAACTTTGTAGACCACCCTCGTTTTGTAAATGCAAGTATGTATGATCACTATATGAATTTGCAACAACAACAATAACAACTGCAAAATTGAAACATACTTATAAACAAACAACAATCTTGAACAGAGCAAAAAAAAATTATTCAAGAAAAAAAATCAGTTTATAAAAAAAGGAAACACCGACGCCATAAGATCACTCAGACAATGAACAAAAAAAAAATTAGTTTGCAAAAATGAAACAACAACAAAAAATAGCTGACAAAATATTGTTCGCCTCAAACAAATAAATAGAAATATTAACGTACATAAGGAAAACTCTGAAGTGAAAAAAAGAGTACTAACGGCTCACTCTCTCTATATCTCTCCCTGGGCTCCTCATGAAGTGCCCGAGTAATTGTACTCTTACAAGTACTTGTACACCGATTTTGCCTTAATAAACTCTTGTTATAGTGTGTGCATGTTTCTTAAGTGTATTATTATATTGTTGGTGTTATATGAGCCGCACACATCACTTAAACAAGTTTAAAAAACAACTTGTGCCGGATGACATCACTAGCGAAAAAATAACAAAATTATTTTTTATTATATTTATTTTTTTTTTTTCGTATTTCTTACTTTACGTAGAAAATACAAACAAACACCGTAAAAATGGATGGTATCAGAAAAAAATATATACATACAAGCAATACCAATAAACCAATAGAGCTGTTTATCTTATACACCTTTGCAAAAGTTATACACACACATACCGATACAATGATAATGTCTTAACTTTGGCTGGGAGCGTTAAGAATGAGAGGACCTTACTCATTTACTCCCAATCTTTGCTCTGCTCGATGAGTGAGTGGGGTATTCGTTTTAGAAATGTTTACAATATCATTATAAAGAGAGAGAGCTGTAAACAGAGGCGTATTGTTTCTTAAGAGATTGGATTTACACTGCAAATATGACATGGATCGCAGTATTGAATCCTAAAATATAATTTTATATGTCGGGATATATGTTTGCTATAATGAAGCTATCTGATGAAATAGTGTATACTTTAAGTACTTTCACAACAGTAAATCGTAATGGAACCAGATTTTTAATATTTACTAATAACGATCCTTTTGCTGTTGCAGAGGTCCGGAGGTCTGGAAGGATACTATGAGTTAGGGTCCAAAAATAGAAGACAAGTTCAATTGTATTAGAATCATAAAATCTTTAAAATTTCCTGCATATAATATGCATCTTTTGGAAGATGCATATTTAGGCAACTACAGAAATAAAGGAGTAGGAGGACCAGATCATTTGGGTTTGACTCTACCAAATATCGCAATTTAAGCATGTGTTTGATTTGGAAATTGGAAGCAAGTGCCTGCGTTTTAGAGAAGATAACGGATCGAATATGGATCACAATCAAAAGGATTGTATTCTATCGATGGTCGAAAAGGTCCTTTGGTAAAATTTTGCTCCTCAACTCGCGGTTAACTCTCAAATAGCTTAAAAACATATTGGTCCAACCAAGTTCAAGTGAACTCATTTTACAGCTCTATGATTTCACCTAGAATCCCAAAAATCTTTAAAATTTCCTACATGTTAGATGGATCCCTAGAAAGGTGGTTATGCAGATAACTACAGCAATGAAGGATTAAAGGAGGAAAAGATCATTTGGGTTTAACTCCCAAATGATGGAAGATCTAGACTAAACATTTAATGAGATCTTTTTGATAATCATATTTTAAGGGAGTCTCAAAAACTATGGAAACTATGTATGATACCAGCTATAGACTGTGTCTTAATTCTATTCCATCGATGGCCGAGAGTGAGCTCCAAGAATTGGCTGCTTATTGGATTAAACTAGCTAAGCATTCTTGGACATTTTTGTACAAACCAAATTTCTCAACAATTAAATCAATGCTTTTCCAGGCAGATTGCAGATACAGATTCTATATCTTGGAAAAATGCTTAAGTTGTTAAATATCCTCCGGGCGTTAACTGCATCCGTAAACCAGATGAGTTGTTACAAAATATTGTACAAAATATTCTCTATCTTTGGTAACAATTATAGACAGCATGTTAATTCCATTCTATAGATGGCCTTAGGTGAGTTCCAAGAAGTGGCTGATCATTGGTTCTGCTTTTACAGATTCTACTTCGTAGAAACATGCTTAAGTTGTTCAATATCTTCCGGGCTATAGCACCACCGGAAAATTCGAGGACCTAATAAATGAGAAGTACGTTTTAAGGGTTAGGCCAATGAAACGGTATTTACTTCCCTATCGGCCTTGGTCAATATCAACACAATGCGAAGACCGTTTAGGAAACAGTTCCCCAATCATTGTTCCAACACAAATTTCCAACAACTACACCACTGTTAGTTTTTGTACACGAGAGATACAAGAAAACAAATCTATGTGGAGCGACATTCTCAAAATCAAAACATTGATACTCACTAGCAAATAGTTGATAGTATACGCTCCAAACATATTCATATTCATACTCACTCCCGTAAATGTTTACATTTTTATACTCACCAACTATCCAACCATCCATATAGTACTCAACAATTTAGCTTTGGCTAAATGAATGAATAGTATAGCAAAGCAAGACACAGATACACAGATAGATACGTGTTGTTGATAGCTAGAGATACACCTAAATAAGTATAGACATACCGATATACATACAAATATTTATATACATGAATATATGGCACTTTTTGAACTGAAAGTTATTGGAGAATTTTGTGTGAGCAGAGCATATGGCAGACAGTCTTGAAAATATTCGCGAACTATGCGGTCGCATTACGATGATTTCGCTGCTGGCGAAACAAATAAATTGAGTGGAATTAATACAACAAATTATAACAATTATAGTAGTAGTCTAAATAACAATAATAATAGTAACAATAGTAATGGTGCGATACCATATCACGCCCGTGAAAATTCGCTGCCATTCAGTTACGGACAGATTAGTAAAACATCAACGCCATTGAGACCTACACATATAAACGCTTCGTCGACGTCTACGTTGTCACGTAATTATTCTAATAACAATAATAATAAAAACGGTAACGAATATGATTTCGATTTTGATTTCGATTTTGGTTTAAACTCTACAGGTCGTTCGCATACAGCACTCGGTTTGGATTACGGTTACGGTAAAACCACAAATAATCAACAAAATAATGCATTACATGGGAGTGGTAGTGGTAATAGTGGTTTAAAAGATGTCAATTTTGATTTGTTGACACAACAAAATGAACGCGATCGTGAACGTCAAAAATTTTATGGTGATTTAAATAATCATAATAGTGAAAAGTATATGAATGAAAGTTGTACGCAAACAGTGAAATATAATAATCAAAGTGGTTACAATAACAATATTAATAATAGTTTTAATAATTTATTAAAAACAACGGATGAAACTGATGCCAGTATGATAAAATCCCAACCACGTCTTACTAGTCCTTTGCTGGTACGTAAAACTTTAAGCAATGGCAGCAGCAACAACATTAGTAGATCACCTACGCGTTCCACAACCAACACTATAGCAAATACCTACCACTACAGTTTTGGTAATAACAGCAACAACAACAAGAACGGCAGCTTTATTGGAGACAACAACTTTGACAAGTTTGGCTTAAATGGCAATAACAACAATAACGATAACTATGGCCGCCACAAAACAATGTACGGTAGTGCAACTAATACTAATGGTGGTGTTGGTGGCAGCAGCAGTGGAGCTGGTGACATACTCTTAGCAAAAACACCAGCTCGACATGATTTTGATGAATTGCTACGTGAGCGACGTGAGAAGGTTTTCAATGAATATCGTACCACATCCACCACAACATATGATTTGTCCAGTTCACCCAAGGTCTCGCCAGTGCCACCGCCCAGACGTTTTGCCAACGGCTCGGTACAATTACCCTCTACTTTACCGCCGTCTCTAAGCAATAAGACGTCATCATCCTCCATGTATCCGCCACAGATACCCAATCGTAGTCAGAGTCAAAATAGCAAATACAATTATGATATTGAATTCAATTTAAATTTGAATGAACGCTATGAGGATGAGGTTGACAATGTTGATATGTTAAGGCGACGTACCAATACCATAGATAGTTTACCACAACGTCAACACCGGTTGCAGCAGCAGTATGGGCTGCACAAACAGCAGCAGCAGCAGCAGCAGTTGTATCAAACGCGCGACATTCCATTGGCGTCACCGTATGTAGAACGTAATTATCACACAATTAGTTCATCATCAACAGCAACAACATCAAATACACATGCCAACAACAGTAACAATAACAACAACAACAGAGAAACTTTAAGTCCAACCTCAATGATTGACATTTATTCAACGCCTTATGATGAACGCAATAACACAAATAAGCAACGTTCAAATATGATGATGCAGCCTTTGGAGGCCACTACAGCATCGCAAACAACAACAACATTGCAACGTACACAACGTTCAACAGACTATGCCACATATGGCAATGGCAACATGTATGGTCATGAGCACACCAATCTTGGTCAAACAATGACGGATAGAGAATCGTCACCTATTTATGCCACTAGCACGAAAAAGGTAACAACATCATCAACTCTCTCAACAGCTGCAGCATCACCAACATATCGACACAGCGGCAATAACAATAATAATGGAACTATTACTGCTACATCAACTACAACTTTGAGTATGGCGGATTATCCCTCACCATCGGCAGCACGCCCCGAAACCCCAGCGTTTCCTGTTACGCCGCGTACACCATTTGCTGGTGGTGCTGCTGGCAGCAATGGTTATAACTCACAAACAACCACTCTTAGCAAACATACCAATGGAAGCTATCAGCAACATGTGCCGCAGCAACATGTCTATCAGCCCGCTAATCTGGTGGAGCAGAACTATTCTTCGGAAACTATCTATGGCAGCAACTATAGACCGCGCCTTAATTCTAGTCTATCGATGGCCAATAGTGAGCCTCAAGAAGTGGCTGCTCATTTGGTGAAATTTGCTAAAGATTCTTCGAAATTCTGGTACAAACCAAACTTGTCACGCGATGAAGCAATTTCTCTGCTCATCAATGCTGCACCGGGCACCTTTGTTGTCAGAGATTCTACCACTTATAAAAATGCCTATGGTTTGGTTTTGCGTGTGGCTCAGCCTCCCCCGGGCTCCACCAGCACTGGCAAACCCGATGAATTGGTGCGCCACTTCCTTATAGAACCCACTACCCGTGGTGTACGTTTAAAGGGTTGTGCCAATGAACCCGTTTTCACTTCCCTCTCGGCCTTGGTTTACGAACATTCTATTAACCAATTGGCCCTGCCTTGTTTATTGCATATACCCGAGCGTGATCTGGTGCCTCCCTTAGTGGAGCATACACCAGCCCAAAAACAACTCTTAACCCAGGGAGCAGCCTGCAATGTATTATGGCTGTTCTCTTGCGATACCGAATCTCTAACCGGCGAAGAAGCCATACGCAAAGCTATACGTCAAATGTATGCGCTACCCGCTGCCCCCACTCCCACAGAGGTCCATTTCAAAGTCACCCAACAGGGCATTACCCTAACCGATAATACACGCAAGAAATTCTTCCGTAAACACTATACAGCCGATATTATTTCATACTGTGCCATTGATCCCGATCATCGTCTGTGGACCACGCAGGAGCATGGCAACGATAACACTACTGTTGTGGGTTCTCTTAAGAAAACCATATTTGCCTTTGTGGCTAGACGTTCAGCCAGTTCGAAGGATAATCAGTGTCATATATTCTGTGATTTGGCCATTAACCAACCAGCCTCGGCCATTGTATCGTTTGTCAATAAAACTCTACCCACAGAGAAGCAAAAGAACTATGTTCTCTGAGAACATAGGGCGGAAAAGGAGGAGGAGGAGGATTTAAATTTTGTTATTGGTCATAGGATTTGTTTGAAAGTAGAAGATAAAGTAGATAGAACTAGGAATACGTTGGCGATGTCGTCGAAAAAGAAACATGTAACATTTAAGTTGTAAACAGGAAAGGTAAAACAAATTCGAACATTTTTTAAGGAGATTTCAAAAATTAATGAAAGAATTATTAAAAAAATTCGTGTAAATTTCAAAGAAACCCGTAACTAATTTATATACAATATAATTTGTTAAATTTCCAGTTAAATCTGAGATGAATTATCTTGTTAAAGACCCAATATATTCCAAAGATTTAATTTTCCCGATTGGAAATCAGTTAAAATGTTTGAACTTTGATAAATTTTCATTATAATAATGACCTTTAAAAAGTTAATTGTAATCAGTTATGATTAACCGTTTGCCATTTATTATTATCGCGTATAATTTTATTATTCTATATATAATTAGTATTTCGTTTGAAACGATTTTGCATACTTTGTGGTTGTCATTGAATTTTAATTTAACTAAATTGTAATTTTAGTTTATTCAATGTTTAAACTTTGGTTTTTTCCGCAATTAAGTTTCCATATTTCTATAACATTATTAGCCTTTAACAACACGCTAAAAAGAAAAACAAAAACATTTTTATTGACAACACTTATTAGGCTTTTAAAGTGAAAATTGTCATTTTCTAACTTTTTGCACATAATTTTCAAACAAATTTCATAAAAATTTTAAAGAATTTTTAAGGTTTAAGTTTGACTTGATTAAAAAACTGTTAAGACGGCAATTTAAAAAATTTAAAAGGCGAAAGTTTGACTAAAACTTGTTAAGTCGACTTTTCATAAATTGCAAAAGTCGACTTTGAGCGGTAACTATAGAACTGTATTGTAAACTAGGGTTCTATATTCTAAACCATCTGTCTTTTGAAATAAATTCCGTAATTAAAAGTCGAAAATGTCTGAAAATAGTATAAAAAGTCGTTAAGTTGCTATTCAAAAAGTAGAAAAGTCGACTTTTTATATATAATGCAAAAAGTTGAAATGTAAACATTTTGTTTCAACTATGGAAATCTATTGCGATAAACCAACCGACTGTCTTTTGGAATAAATTTCGTAATTAAAAGACGAAAAAGTGTAAAATAAGTTCGAAAATATTAGAAAAAAGTCGTAAAGTTGCAATTGCAAAATGTAGGAAATTCAAAAAGGCGACTTTTAATATATTGCAAAAAGTCGAATCCTACACTTTTTGTTTCAACTATAGAACCCTACTGTGAACTGTAAATAGATAAAAAATCAATACCAAAAAATAATCCTAAAAAAAAGTCGAAAAGTTCGCTAACTTGTAAGAAAAAAGTCGAATAAATGATTTTGTAGTTACAAGTCGAAAAAAAGTCAAAAAGCCGATATTTATAAGTGCGAAAAGACGAAAATTTCAAATTTATAAATATTTCAAAAGTCCATAAATTGCAAAAAGTTTAATACACGACTTTTGATAAATAACAAAAAAATTAAAAAGTCGACTTTTTGTTTCAAGTATGGAACCCTAATCGTAAACCGAATTAAACAATTTATACAAATTTGAAATTTCATTTAATTTTAAAATAAACTTTTTTATTAATTTTTAAAATTACTACCAAAAGTTAATAATTTAAGCAAAAATTTTTAGTAAAAAAAATCTTTCTTTTTTACTTTGTTTGTTTTTATATGCAAATTAAATTAAGGAAGCTTTAAAAATTACTAATTTATGGAATTTTAAATAAAAATTTAAAATTTAATTTAAAAAACAACAAAACTTTTCTTTAAACGAGAAAGTTTTGTTTTTATTTTGTTTATATAGCGTTTATAGTTTGTTTTACCTACACAATTGACGTCATCGCTCGACGACCCCATTGTAGTTTTGCCTCTTTTTTTTTCGTCGACTTTGTTTAACAGAAGATGATGAACAAAATATATTTTGTTATGCATGTAGTAGTGAGTAATAGTGTAAAATAATTGTATTTGTTAGAAGAAATTAAAATGGTCTTTTGTTTATTTAATATTTTAACAATATTTGCAAAAAAAAATAATAATAAAATTACAATGACACAAACAATATTTTAACCACGTTGCCATATTGTAAACACTTTTTTTACACAGTTCAATCTCATATTTGTAAACAAACCGAAAATAACTGTTCTTCGCTATTCACATACTATTTACATTGTTGATGTTTTTTTCGATTAAAGTGAATTTATACAGTTGATTGTCAAAATCTAAAATTAAAACAAATTCTTTAAGCTAAAGCTGTCAAACTTCTTTTTTTTAACAATTAATAAGTTTATTTGACTTTTTTCGGAATTTTGCCATTGTTTTCACCTTGTATGGATTCGCCTTATAATTTTGGCATTGCAAGCTTAGCTTAACATGTTGTTGTAATACTAATTTACACTTAAACAAAAAATTGAACCTAAATTTATACACTTTATATACAGTTATATTTTATTTAAGGTATTTTGTATGTTTATTATTATTTTTTTTATTATATTGTTTATAGTAAAGTAATTTTCACCTGATAACGAAAGAATTTTGTTTAAACTTCAAACTACTTGTAATTTTTTTTGTTTGTTTTGCTTGTTTCTATATGTGTATGAACAAAAAAGTTAATAATTCTTACAATGAGTCATTTTTTATTAATGATTTAATCAATTAATATATTTTATTTTTCTATACATACACTAACTTTACACACACATACATACATTTGTATAAAATTGATAATTATGATTACGAAAAGAAGGAAAAAAATAAATTAATATATAACATTTTTTTTATTAATATAATACCATAGATTTAAGGTGCAGAGGAAGTTCAAGGTCAGTTAAAGTATATTTCTACAAAAAAACGTTATATATTTTTATTTTCCTCAATATTTTATTTGTTTTGTTTATTTTTATTATTTAACCTTAAGTTTTTTTCAATTTTCCTTTTAATTTTCAAAACAATTTAATATTTATTAGAAAAAAACTTTAACTGATCTTGAATAAGCAAATAAAATATATATATTTTTTAATTTAAGCATTATTTGAATACACACTAATATATACATATATAAACACACACGCGCGCTTATTTATAATATTTAGTATAGTGAGCGACATTAAAAAAAATACGCCGACCCCATAATATAAATTTGGTAATAAAATTTTGAAAAACAACAAAAAAAAAATAATAAAACTTGTATCGATAAAACTGTAAATAAAAAATATTCTTGCATTATTTTGTTAATTGTTAAACAAATGGTGGGTATACGAGTAATTTTTGTTAAAAAGTGTCTAACATATTTAAAAAGATGGAGGTGTCCACTTTACAAGAAAAAGTGACATGTAATCAACCCACATCACTTACAGCTAATGAATGGACTAATTTTGGGTTCTTTTTAAATATTTTAATTAGCAATGCGCTACCTGTTACTTAAACCCATTAAAAGTTATAAAATTTTATATGTTAAAAAGTTCCGTATCAAAAACCAAGTTTAGCTTAAGGAAGAAAACGTATATGGCATCACTGTTTTATGTCTTAACATATTGACATATAATTGCAAGTGTTGCCCACAGGTTTTTGCAAAGAACTTCTTTTTAAATACTCGATTATTAAACAGCAGGTTTTAAAATTTTATTTAAAATCTTTTTGATTAATTTTAATTTGCACTTTAAATCTTTGAACAATCCTTAAGCGTATCTTAGATCTTTAAATTATAGTACAATGATAAGAACAGAATAAAGTCCAACTTCAGCTAACTTCAGGTTTAAACACATCGCCATTTGAATGGCAGCTAACTTAAGGTTAAAATGTTAAATACACTGTATGAAGAAGGATTCTATAAAAAGACTTTCCAAAATTGACTTTTCGTCGAACAAAGTGGAAAGTAATTGAATAATCGATTGATAATAAAAAGAGTTCGAAAAAATCGACTTTTTGTAAATTTAAAAAAAGGTAAATTTTTACTATTTTGTCCCAACAAAGTCGATAAATCGTAGGAAAAAATCTAAGAAATTTAATAATTCGGAAAAAGTCGAATAAAAAAATCGCTAAAAATTTACTTTTTAGAAATTGAAAAAAAGTCGGAAAGTCGAAAAAGTTGCAAAAAGTCGTAATTTTGTTTCATCTATAGAACCTTGTTAGTTAGTTAGTTAGTTAGTTAGTTAGTTAGTTAGTTAGTTAGTTAGTTAGTTAGTTAGTTAGTTAGTTAGTTAGTTAGTTAGTTAGTTAGTTAGTTAGTTAGTTAGTTAGTTAGTTAGTTAGTTAGTTAGTTAGTTAGTTAGTTAGTTAGTTAGTTAGTTAGTTAGTTAGTTAGTTAGTTAGTTAGTTAGTTAGTTAGTAGTTAGTTAGTAGTTAGTTAGTTAGTTAGTTTAGTTGTTCGTTCGTTCGTTCGTTCGTTCGTTCGTTCGTTTTCGTTCGTTCGTTCGTTCGTTCGTTTCGTTCGTTCGTTCGTTCGTTTCGTTCGTTCGTTCGTTCGTTCGTTCGTTCGTTCGTTCGTTCGTTTCGTTCGTTTCGTTCGTTCGTTCGTTCGTTCGTTCTTAGTTCGTTCGTTCGTTCGTTCGTTCGTTCGTTCTTCGTTTCGTTCGTTCGTTCGTTCGTTCGTTCGTTCGTTCGTTCGTTCGTTCGTTCGTTCGTTCGTTTCGTTCGTTCGTTCGTTCGTTCGTTCGTTCGTTCGTTCGTTCGTTCGTTCGTTCGTTCTTCGTTTGTTCGTTCGTTCGTGTTCGTTCGTTCGTTCGTTCGTTCGTTCGTTCGTTTCGTTCGTTCGTTCGTTCGTTCGTTCGTTCGTTCGTTCGTTCGTTCGTTCGTTCGTTCGTTCGTTCGTTTTCGTTCGTTTCGTTCGTTCGTTCGTTCGTTCGTTCGTTCGTTCGTTCTTCCACTACAGACTAGAATGTCGAATCTACTATAGACTAGAATATAGACTCAACGCTAGACAAGACTATAGACTCAACTATAGACAAGACAACTGACTAGACTATGTACTAGACTATAGACAAATCTATAAACAACACTACAGACTACACTATATACTAGACTACAGACTAGACTTCACACTAGACTGTAGACTAGACTATATACTCGACTATAGGCAAAACTTTAGACAAGACTATAGACTAGACTTTAGACTAGACTTTAGACTAGAGTTTAGACTACACTATAGACTTGAGTTTAGACTAGACTATAGACTAGCCTTTGGGTAGACTATTGACTGGACTATAGGCTTTGGACTAGAATATAGACTAGACTATTGCCTATATATTACACTATATACTAGGCTATATATTAGACTACAGACTAGATTATAGACTAGACTATAGACTACAATGTGGACTACTTATCTAAAGTTTATAATTTAACGAAGCTATATACTATAAACAAGATTATAGACAATATTTTAGAATAGACTATAGACTAGACTATAAAATAGACTATATACTAGGCTATAGACTACACTATACACTAGACTTTAGACTAGATTGTAGACTAGACTATAGACTACTATGTGGACTACTTATCTAAACTTTATAAATTAGGAAAAGTACCGAAAATATGTTGGAGCCCCCATATATATTTTGCAAAAAAAAATATTTAAAAGATATGTAAATGTATGTCTTGTTAATTTAAATATTTATACCCTACACCACTTTAGTGGGGAGGGTATATTGGATTTGTGCTGATGTTTGTAACATACAAAAATATTCGTCCTAGACCCACCTTAAAGTATACCAATCGGCTTAGAATCGTTTTCTGAGTCGATTAAGCTATGTCCGTCCGTCCGTCCGTCCGTCCGTCTGGCAGGCTGGCTGGCTGTCCATGTAAACCTTGTGCGCAAGCTACAGGTCGCAATTTTCAAGATAATTGGATGAAATTTGGCACGCACGTTTTATTTGACCCAAGGACGAAGCCTATTGAAAATGGTTAAAATCGGTCCATTATTTCACCTAGCCCCACCTAGCCAAATTTCATAAAGATCGGGCCCCATTTGACCCTAGCTCCCATACAAAGTCCCCTTCAGAAAATTACTTGAATGTCCCAAATTAACTTATAAACACAAATATCGCGATGAAATTCAGCACAATAAAATATTATGTAAATATAAATATATTCACAAAATTTTATCGGGCTTGGTCCATATTTGCCCCTAGCCCCCATATAAAGCCTCTTTCAGAAAATTAGTTTTTCATCCATAAATTGCTTAAATGTATCGGAACAAGGGAATATTGAAGATAAATGCGATATTATGAAAAATAAATCACATTTAATATTCATAACTGGTGTAGGGTATCATATGGTCGGCCACGCCCGACTATACTTTCTTACTTGTTTTTATTTGTTCCCTATATACCATCCACAATTTCTTAATAAGATTCAAGAGAGTGTAAATGAGAATTAAAGTAGACTAAATCTAGAAACTTTTGAGCCTTTTTTAGAAATCATTTATTATTAATATTTGAAGCAAAGTGATCCTCCCAGTCTCTAAATTTTGATATTTACATTATTTTTGAACATAAATGTTAGAGTTTAAATTTCCTAAAGAACGTTCGGCTCTGAGCCGACTTTAAGCCGCCGCCGAATTATTTTGGCTCAGCCGCCGCCGCCGATAATTTTAAGTCGACTTCGCCCTCTGGTTGGGGGTGCCGTGGTATTTTTCGATATAAAAAAGTACTAAAGCACTGATTTTTCCATACCTGTCATGGAATACATCTTAATAATCGGAATCTCATTTACTGGGGCAGTGAAAACTCTCTTTTGGAAAATAATATCATTTTGAGAGAACAGTTTCTTCACCGATGTAACTACAAGTCCATTCTAAGATCAACATGATATCTGATTCAAGTTAATATGCAACTCTTTTTGCAGCTTTCGCTCCCTTGTTTTACTATCCACCCAAAAAGTAATATTTATAAGATTGCGGAAATTACGAAAAAATTTCTTAAAATTTATATTTGGACAAAAATATTCATTCATATAAATAATACGGTTATAAAATTCATTAAATGGACTACATATACATTTTACCGTTGCATTCCATTCTGTTTAATTTTTTTAAATTTTTATTTTGGTTTTACAAATGAACCATTTAGGGAAAAAAACATTTTAAACATTTGTTGCGGTTTTTAAGTTATTGTTAAGTTTTGTTCATTTTATTTTAAATTAAACAAAATTCCAAGAAATATGTTTATAAATATTAAACAAATACAAATTGGGTCATTAACATCAAAAGCAATTTAATTGTAAAATACATAAATATTTCACCCTTTACTTGTGGAGGGTTTTTCTACCGTAAAAAAAAACTTTAGAATGGAAAAGTAAACATGTGTGTGCTGTGTGGCAGCATGAAAATGTTGCCAGATTTTTTTTTTTAATCATTTTAATTTTGCTGACTTAGCTTTTCTTAATATTCTCAAATTCAAGATTTTTTAAAATTTCAAATATTTTGCTCCACCATCAACCATTAAATTGAAAAAATTAACAAAAGAAATTTTAATTTAAATATAATTTATAAGAATCTGCACCCATCATCTAACTGCGCTTCTTTTTTTTTCAATTTAATGTGTCTGTTTTTGTTTCATATCATATTTTTTTGTTGTTATTATTATTGGGGTTTTTTTTTTGAAATTATTCTTTACGCAGATGAAAAACATTTTAAATGTTTATTTTATTCTCTTCCACTTCTACTGCCGCTCGCCACCTCTGGTTGGCTTCATAATTTCTGTGTTATTCCAAATGTGAAAATTTATTTCAGTTATAAATATATAATGTAGCATCATCTTCTTGAACATCATCAACATTATGATATTCGGCAACATCATGATCATGATCATCACCAGCTAGCAGAGTCCAATCGTACCTTTCAATATTCTCACTGTTGTACACCACCACAAAGTGAGTGAGTGGTGGCGCGGCGCTTTCATTGCTTACGCCAACCAATATACAGTAGCTAAAATCAGCAGATTGCTTAATTTTTTTTTCTTCACTTTTTTCTACTTAATAGTTCCCAAAAATTGATTATTGAAAGAAATTATTTCAATTTGTGTGTTTTTTTTTTTAAATTTTTAAGGCGCGGTAAGACCAACAAGAAAAGGGGGAACATGATATAGAGCTTATTTTGAGATTTTTGTTATTGTTATAAAACGAATAATGATTATTTGATTAAGATTGTAGGTCCAGACAATAGGCTATACTGTAGTTCAGACTATAAACTAGAATATAATTGAAACTTTAG